CACCTCCACCCCCACCCCCTCCAACCCTTCCATTATCACCAAACTCCCACCAATGACAACAAGCATCACAACAAAAGCAACAAGACCACTCACCATCACCCCCGCGCCCCGCAAACTCCCACCAACACCTCCATTAACACCAAACCATGACCGATGACAACAAGCTTCCACCACCGCCATCACCCCCTCCACCAAAAACGAACGTCATTATAGCACAACATGGTGGGCTACACCCCACACCACCCAAGCCTGTAATATTTTCCGTGTGTCATCCCCATCTACCAATATCACACTTCACGCTTGTCTCCTATTGTAACAGGGACAGAGTCCACAGAGATGCAACTTTGGCCGAACCAGCCCCATCGACGAAAACGCCCAGCGAGCCTGAAATGATTGTGTTTGAAGTCAACGATCCAGCACACACACAACAAGTGTCTGACTGGCGACCTGCCCCCCCCCTCCCTCCCTGCACAAGTATACCAACACACAAGCGTGTGCGAGGTAACACACCCAGAGAGAGGGACGGGTTTCACAGAGAGAGGTAGGGTCGACAGGTAAGTAGGATCACGGGCCCCTTTCTACGGTTACGCACGGCACGGAATTAATTGCTCTCCCCGACAACCAAAAATCTGACCACGAACAAAAAAACGCGAACAAACGACAATTTTTGATATGGCCTCAGACGCGACGCTCCTTCCACCTCTGAAGTGTTTACAGAGCGTGCGCCCCCGTAGAATCATCAGGACTTGAGTCAGTAGTCAACAACACGTCAGTTTTCATCACGCCGTCACCGTATGTATCACATGGTACCTATACACATTTCGTCGCCACGCGTATCCCTATCCGAACCATCTCTCCATACATGGCACATCGCCATACGTCCGATCAACGCGTCCTTCTCTTTTCATCAAGAGGACACGGAAGAGAAGCGCGCATGTCTTGAACCAGGCATACCCACCCCCCCCCCTTCCTTCCGGCCCATAAAAAAAGAACACACACACATGCAGTACAAGACGACAAAATTTCTGCAAGTTCTTTATTAGTATTGAACATCCACGTCATCACCACCACGAGACCGCTTGCATCACTCAGCAAAATATTACGAAACGCAAACGACAACAAACGTTTGGCCCAGGCTTTACCAATGACCTCATCGCATCAACAACGGGGCTCCTGCCACGGACCGAGTTACTACCTCCTCGCCGTGACACTGCTGTCCACACACACGTGCATCCGCTCCCCCACCGGGGATCCACCACACCACCTCGACGCGACCTCGATGCTCGCCACCGCCAAAGCCAAGCCGCCACCGCACCACGATCTACCTGTGACTGGTAGCCTGATACCCAGCACTTCCTCCACTAGCAGCCCCCGCGTGCGCGCTGTCCCCAGCCCCGTCGCCGGGGCTATGGAGCACAGGGAGGTGGTGCTGGTGGTGGACGTAATGGTGGTGAACGTGGTGCTGCACGACGATTTGCGGGGCCCCCTGCCCGACAATCGGGACCCCCACCGTGGGCTGCATGAAAGACGCCTGCTGCTGCCCCCCCCCGAAGCTCCCGTTCGCCATCGCTAGGCCTCTGGAAACGATCTCCTGGTGATGATGCATACCGCCATGAGATTGCAGGGTCTCTCCGATTCCACCGCGGAAGATGTTGCTGTTGCCGGAGTGGGGCGCTGGGACGCCGGGAATCAAGGGTGCCATCAGGGGAAGTCCTCCAGGCTTTCGCTGCACGGCTTGGCGTAGGTAGCCGTGCCGTCGCTGTACCGCGCCGCGACTCTTCATCCTCCCACCTCTACCACCACCCCTACCACCACGGACAAGGGCTGTCGATCTCCAGGGGACCACAGCGTCGTTACGAGCGGCGGGAGCGCTGGCACGGTTTTGAGACCTGACGGCAACGATGCTCACATTATTCGTCGCTGCGTTGTGAGAGAATGTGCTTTGGGGGGGATCGACGGCACTACTACCGGTCACACGGAATATCGACTCAGGCTCTGGTGCGTGCATACTATCACCCCCGCCTGCTTCGGGTGCGTGACAGTCCTGCTGCTGCTGCTGCTGCTGCTGCTGCTGCTGCTGCTTCTCCTGCTGGTTGTTCTTGTCCTGCTGCTGCTCAAAACGCTTGTCAGGTTGCTTTCCATTCGTTTCATCTTCTTGGACTTGGGCGGGACTCCGGCACGGCGGAGAGCTCCACGGCGTACGGCCGGCAGAAGTAGGAGCATCCGTGGTACTTCCAGGAAGAGCAGCAGAAGGAGCGGCCCGAGGAGCGGCAGAAGGAGGAGCACAAGAAGTAGCAGAAGAAGCAGCACCAGCAGCAGTAGAAGGAGCAGTAGCAGCAGTAGAAGCAGCAGCAGAAGCAGCAGCAGAAGGAGTAGTAGAGGCAGCAGTAGACGCAACAGCTGAAGGACCATCAGAAGGAGGAGAAGGAGCAACTGCTGAAGGAGCACTAAAAGCAGCAGCAGAAGGTGCAGCAGCAGGAGAAGCAGTAGAAGCAGCGGCAGAAGCAGCAGCCGCGGCGGCAGCACCCCCACCGTCGACTTTTTCCTCCTTGTGGGTTGGGGGCCCGCCAACGCCATGCGCGCTCGCCTGGGCAAGCAGCACGGCGCGCTCTACGACCGCCTCCGGTGGAGACTGGGCCTCTTGCAGAGAAACCTCGACGTTCGACGAGACAGAGGCGTTTTTCGCTGTCTCCACACTCAAACCTTCGGCGCCAACTAGCCTTGTCGCAACCCCAAGATCTTGCGACATCTTCCCCATCTTCCTCCCGGAGATGGTCACACGCGATCGGTTGAGCGGGGCGCATGCAAGAACAGCCAAACCGTAGCAGTTGCGAAGGAACGGAAGGGGGCGAGGGCACGGGAAAGCCGGCTGTGAGGAAGAAACTTTATTGCGGCCACGCGAAAGCTTCAAGTGCCACGTTGTAGTGTTTTTCACGGTCTGTCACCAACGCCCCCCAAGGCCTCGTGCGGCACTTTCGTCCCACCTCCGTTTCGAGCTTTGCCTGGGCGGACGCTTGCCCACAAGGGTCGACGACTTGTCCCCTGAGCTCCAGGCCGTCGAGCCACAGGTCGACCCCCACGGCCTCCGACAGTGTCTCCACGAACCGATAGCGGATGTCCTTGACGCCGCCCGCCACAACGTTACGGCCATAGCGCTGCGCGGCCTTGCTGACTAGCATGGGGCTGAGCTCGACGCTCACGTTCTGGGCACGCCATTGCCGCACCGCGTGACGGAGAACTTGACACTTTTCGGCCGGACAGGGGGACAAGAACATGATAAATTAGAAGGAGGGGGGGGTCTGCGACGTGGAAGTCATCACGACGGCAAAAAATTGAAAAGAAAAGGAAAACAAGGTGTTGATGACACATCAGGTAGGGGAACCGACCTGGTACAGGCTGCCTCGTCACCTGGTGCATGTGTGGTGCACGAAGCACACACACTGCACCACCCGGAAGAAACAACAAAAGTAAGGACAGAACGTGCGTGTGGCACACACCCCACTCACCATCGCTTGCAGCTTCCCTTCGTTGCCACCCGTAATCTGCACCACGAGGCTATTCTCGAGCCAGACAAGAAACATCTTGATCTCGTCTACGTCTGCGCCGCCCGCTCGTGCCATCTCTTGGACTGCATGACTCGTGGCCATTATTCGCATGGCACCCGTACTCTTCATGTCCACCTATGTATGTGTGTATAGCGAAGCACAAGAAACATGCACGCCGGGAGTTGCAGCTCGGGTCAGCAAGTGTGAAGGCCGGGATGTTCGTGTTCGCCTTCCCAGGCAAGCCCCCCGGAGCATTCAAGCGCACACCGCAGAGAGGGAACCGGGCAACCCGTGCATCAGCTGCAGCTGAAAATCTTGGCCGATATCATCAGTCGAAGTTCGTCAACAGAGAGGGCGGGTTTCCACGTGGTGCAGCAGGCCAACCGCCGTCCGACTGATGCGGCGAAGAAGAGGCGACAGGCAGACCGGTATTCAACGATGGGTCTACTTGCTCACGCACGGAGGAAGCACAGCCGGCGTACAGAGCTGATGCAGTGCAGAGCAGTACACACCGCGGTGCATACCACGGTTTCGTAGACCCTGGAGGTGCACGCCATCGCAGAAGGAGCTGCCTGAGCCTGAAAGTGTCTGGCGCACACAATCGCTTACCGCCTGGATGACGTCCGGCACGACCTCCGACAGGGACTCCGCAACGGCGCAGAACACCTTGTCCGCGACGGCGCGCTGACCGGCGACGTGCACGACTTGACCGCCGTCTTCGAGCTTAACCTTTGGACCGAAGTTGAGAGGTGCGGCGACAAAGTTGAGGCGCAGCGATACCGTAGGGCGCAACAACACGTGTGGCGCATTTGTTGCGACCTGCTCGTTACAGGAAGTAAGGCCTCCTCCGCCCCCCGTGGTTGATAACATGTTCCGTGGAACAGAACAAGCGGTTCTCGTCGCGGCGAGCTTCGTGTTCACCGTCATCGTACATGTGGTACCCGAGAAAGTGGGCGCAGGCTCGATATCCATCCGAGGTTCTCCATACAAGGGCCGATTGTTGTCCTCAGCGCGTCGGAAACCAAATGGTGAAATAAGTACACGCACGACGACGTGGAGCACCAACGCGTACGTACCTCAACCACAGCTCGGAGGTACGAGAATACTGCCTGAGAACAAACCTGTTGTGAGATCGATTCTTGGCTCGGGCTACATCACGCATCATCGCTTCTTGCTCACCGTTGCTCCCTTCGCCAAGTTGTCAGGGATAGCGTTGCTGAGGTCGCCCGCACCGGACCCGAGCTCGAGGCACCTGTTCACCGACCTGTTCGTCCTCTGAGAGACCAGGTGGTCAAACGCCGGGGCGACGGAGCCGGATAGACCCCACAGCTGGAAGACCTTCACGTCCTTGCTCGTGAGCGTGTCCACGTCCGCCCAGGGGGGACCGGAGTACTCGGGCAGGTCCGGCGAACGCCGCTCCCCGTCGCTACCACAACCGCCGCCGCCGCCGCCGTCAACCGACGAAGGTGCCGAAAAATTGAGGACAGTTGGCGGGACCAAGTCCGCGCAAATGCCGTGGCAGTCAGAGATCTTGCAGAGGGAGCGCGCGGTGGCCATGCCCTTTGTTCGGCAGAGCACGTGAAGGTCGGCATCCTCCGTCTCGCCTGTCAACGCGCTCCTGGCTCGAAGCAGCGAGAACTCGCACGGCTGGCCGGGGGGAAATCAACGCGAGCGAAGACGACCAGAACCAGTGAGCCCGGCGACAAGGGGGGAAGGGGGCCACGCGGAAAGCGGAAACCGAGAGGGAGTCACGACGGTCGAGAGAAAGAAGACGACTTGTTGAAAGGAGCTCCCTCCCACACCTTGTCTCTCTCACTCACTCTCACTCACTCTCTCTCTCTCTCTCTCTCTCTCTCTCTCTCTCTCTCTCTCTCTCTCTCTCTCTCTCTCTCTCTCTCCTTCCACCCACCCTCTCTGTTGCCCCCCTACGCATTCTCTATCGCATTCCGTACGGACGTGCATGCTGTACCATGTACTTGAGGGCGAAACATCCAAACATAGGTACGCACAACAAAGATCTGACACTCCACAACCAACCCTTTCTCCCGAAAATGCCCCCCCAAGAAACCTACTCTTAGCGCTCCTCGGTTAGCGGAAGTGCCGTACCTTGACGCCTTCCTCCCGGCACACGCGGAGCCCGTGCTCCAGGTATCTGGCGACCGACTCGGTCGTGCGGCAGTCGCCCCTTTCGACGACGGAGACCAAGGAGTTCTCGCTATCCCGCACGATATCCTCTCCGAAGCACGCCCGGAAGAAGGCCAGGAAACTTTCCAGCACGGGCTGACGACCCAGAAAAGAACCCGAACGAGCGTTGCATGTCACGGGAAGTTGTGACGATGGGCGAGCGGGATGCCAGAATCGGCGACGCTAATCAGCCAGAGAGTACGGACGGAGACGGGTGTTGGTAGACCCGGTGATAACATCAACGAAGCTAATGGTGATTGTGGGAGACGAAGGAAGGGGCGGGCGGGGGGGAGGGGGCACAGATATTTTCTAGTTGCAGTGGTATTAAGTTGTTGGGAAAATGTGGTGTTCCATTCCCCCGAATACACACGTGAGGTATACCGCTCTACGTCAAACGCATGATTGAGTATGCCACCGTACGTTGATGGGTATTCCATCCGTTACCGTGCTGGGGAAAGAAGGCCTCATGCCACTACCATTGTTTTGTCACCAGCTGGATGTGATGAAACGGTTGCTGCTCGGCTTGGGACCCCTACACGCAAAGCTCTTCTTGTAAAGTGCTGCAGTGTGGGGCGTAGCCCTAACGACGAATTTCCAGGGCGATTTACGATTCCTACTGGCTCAACATCGCGGCGGGACGCTTCTTGCCGCTATGAACAATCTGCGACGCTCCGAACCGGCCAGCCACCACCCGCAGCGGCAGTGGTGGCTCCACTCACAAGGTCCCGCTCCTGGTAGTGCACTCCGAAAGCTACCAGCGGCGGCTTTCCCTTTCCGCGCGGCGGTTTCAACTGCGGCCGACACGCAGTAGCACGCAGCAGCGCGGGCGGTGTTGTGAGTGCGGGTCTTCGACGCCCGCGTGCGTTGTATCACCACCCGGGGCTCACTTTGTTGCTCCCGAGGGACGGAAAATGCAATCAGCCGACCTCCGTATGACATGGTGTTTGCTATTGTGGCTTGTTTTCTACCATCCTGTGTGCGATCTCAGTCAACGACCTTGTGCCCTTCTTACGACGGGTTGGGATGACTGATGCTGCCCCCTATATTCGGCGCTCTGCGTCGCAAGTACCGTCGGTATGAAGTGTCGAGCTGTTCTCCCGTCGCTTGACTACCCTAGGCAAGGCGAAGAGCGGCAACGAAAGTCTAGCCGCACTCGAAGCGGTTCACTTCGGCCGTCACCTACACACGGGAAACGGGCAAGGCGATGTCGATGTCTTCGGCGACTCTCCAGGCGCAACATTGGGTCGACAGGGCGGGACCTCACCATCATCCCCACTGTAGCCTCTTCTTCGCGAATGCCGAGCTCTTGTAGCAGGATACGCTTCTGCAGGGCCCCCGCAGCAAATTGAAAACGTAAGGAGATAACGTAAAGGGCGACAGGAGGAAACGGTTACGAATGAGAGCTTTCAGCGCTGGGCAGCACCGTCACCCTTGGCGCGACATCTTGCCGTGTTGTGCCACCGTTCTCAGGGTGTGAACTCTTCCCCCTGGTTTGCGCCCCCTTTGGACCACAGACTGCCGTCGCGACCAAACCAGTAAGTTCGTTTTGCCGAGGATATGATACCTGTTCCTCTAGCCGGGCCTGGCATGCCTCCCGGGCGGCCGCGTCGTCAACCTCTCCCCTGACGAAATGGCCGTCGAGCCACAGGTCGACCCCGACCGCCTCCGACAGACCGACGACGAACACTTGCTGGTGCTCCTTGCTGACGCCGTCGGCGGCTCTCTTGCGGGGCCGGACGGTCGTGGACTTATTGATGGCGATGGGCCCCACGTACACGCTCACGTTTCGCTCGCAGATTTTCGTCGCGCGATTTCTGAGGGCAAGGCACTTTTTTTGAGGGGGTGGCGCACGGCGCGGGGGTATTAGCCACGGCAGAAACGCGGTCGGTCGCGATACGCATGTTCAGAGCTCGGGGAAAACAACGTCACCGTGACCGATCATTTTTTTTTTTCTACACGGGACGAGGGCAGACCGGACCTTTTGCCCCACCACCCCGCAGGTTTCACGGTGAGAAACGTGGCACGCCGTTCGTTGCCTTTCTCGCCTAGCACAGCGAGGGTGGAGGAGCCCCGGGTATCGCGCGCAGAAGCGCACAACACAAACGGGGAAATAGAGAGACGCAGAAACCCCCCTCATAATGAAAGTACATCGCTTGTCGCCGGTGTCTTGCACAAAGCTCCAATACAATCCACAAGGCCAATCATACTCGTCAAAACGTTGGACCAAATGTCAGAGTCTCTGCGTTCCGACTCACAACTCTGTCCATCGCCTGCTGGTTCCCTCCCGGCACCAGCAGCTGCACCAACATGCGCGTCTTGTGCCACATCGGCGCCAGCTTGACCTGGTCTTTGGCGACACCGCCCGCTCGAGTAATCGCTTCAATCTCCTCGTCCGTGCTGAGCCGTCGCAAGGTGCCGTTGTCCACCATGTCGACCTTCAAAAGGACAGCCACAACACAACAGATGTTGGCACACGAACGTCCGTCCGTCGCCACGTATCGCAGAGAGGATATTTATGTCGTTGAGGCGAGCGGAGTGCTTGCATTGAGGCGACCCGCCGCAACCACCCCGCCCATGCCCGAGGTTGTTTACGCACCAGACCGAGCGTGGCGAGCGTTTCGCCGCCAGCTAATCCTTCGCTCAAAGAGAAACAGGCACATGTGAACGGGAGGGGTATTGCGGAAAAGGAGGGCGACGGGGGAAGAGGGCAATCATTTTCCCTCTTGGGGGCGGTAGCATGCCTCATGGTACTCCACGAACTCACCCACTGGACGAACGCCGGCAGAGCCTCTGACAGCAGCTTCACGGCCCGGCCGAAAAGCTCTTCCACCGCGGCGGGATGGCCGACCACGCGCAGGACTCCGCGTTCCGTCTCCACTTCGAGCTTCAAGCGAACAACAACGTCGCGAAAAAAAAAAAAAAACTCTTCATGGATCCGATGTGTGTTTTGGTAGGCGTGTCCGGAAAACGTGTGGTATCGCCCATACATACGCATGTGCGCCGTCAACTCCAGCCGAACTCAACTATATGTCGACGGTAGTGCTGCTTGCAACGGTTGCCTCTCTTCCCTGCGAAGATGCCGGTGCCCGCTCAAGCTGCCACGAACCCTTACTTCAGGCGCAGGCTCCGAGCCGAACCTAGAAGCTGGTCACCCGAACCCTTCCCCCCGGCAAGTTTACAAGCTTCAAACTGTCCTTGCTGTCAAGATGTTCTGTGCGATAACTGCCATTGGTCCAAACCAAAAGAAGTGCAAATAAGAAACCGGCGTGTTACCAAGAACTCCCCCAAGTCACGAGAGAACCAACACGGCGGTTTCGGGCGGTGCAATGAATAGCGGTCGGTCGCACTCACAGCGGCGTTGTCCGCGCGCAGGCTCGCAACGCTGCTGAGCCCGCCCACCTCGAACCCAAACTCGAGAGACCTCTCCATCTTGTTCGGGTGCTCTGGAAGGACGCGCTCGAACGCATGCCGCACGCAGTGGTCAAGCCCGAACAGCTGCACAGTCTTGATCCTCTTGTCCTTGAACGTCCCGACGTCTATCCAGGGAGGGCCAGCGTAGCGAGGGTAGTTGGGCAAACCGCCAACGCTGTCAACGCCGCTTCCCGGGTGACTGAGGACCATCTTTTTTGAGAGACGCAGCGCCAAAGGGAATACAAATAGGCTTGTCCTTCGGAGCAGTTTCGACGAAAATGGCGGGTAATCATGTGCAGAAAGCGCTCACCACTTGAGAATCTCTTATTCTTGCTCGCGGCTTATTTTTTGTTTTGTCTGTGGGGGAACCCAACATCGACTACACAGATTGCAGTATAGTTGTTCTTGTTGTCGTTACTATCTTCACATTAAAAACTGTTCCGGTCTATGATCAGTACCTTCTTGTATCCTACCGGTCCAGCTGACGCGGGCGCCTTCCGTGGTCACAGCCCTACCACCCACAATGGGTACACACTTCTTATAACTCCTTTTAAACGTGTAGGATTCTTGAGTATGGTCAAGCTGATGTAGTTGTTCTTTTTGGGGCCTGAAATATTTGCTCCCAGGTACGTCAACCCTCCTAGTACCCAGTTAGTCGAGGTTATGGATCCAGAAAAATCGCGTTCGCCCATTGGGAGAGGCTGTACAGTCCTGAGGGCCGAAGACTGACTGGCTTCAGTACGGAAAGTGTCCCCAAAATGCACTGGGGACACTTTCTATTCAGAAGCCAAGTCACCATACTTTTTGCAGCACTAGGCTATGTACAGCTTTACCAACAAGGGGACCCGCGGCTTGGGAGATTGTGTACAGCAAGTCAGAGGCCCAGGAGAGGCACGCAGGCATCACACAGCAGTATATCGCACAGCGTACCACCTCACACAGGCATGGTAGACCAAGGTTTCCCACGCGCGGTTCACGCAGCGGAGCATAGTGACGACCACGGTGCGGTAAACAGGCATGTGAGTGCTGTGTCCCCAAAGTGTGAGCTTCCAGTACTAAATAATAGGAGGATTAAGTGGTGGCATGCACTGTATGGCCGCAGGGGAGAGGGGTTCCGTAGCTGGAGGGGCCGTGTGCTCACATGTGTTGGTTGCGGTCCGCTGGGCTCGACGCGGCTTCGCGTGCTTCGAGGGAGCAGCAGCTGGTCATCCAACCCGCGACACGAGACAACCAGGGTTGCGAGTCTGCATACATAGAAACAAATACACGAAAATGTGCCACATTTGAAGTTTTTTTCAAGACGAAAAGAACATGGTGAAACACGGCTCACCTTGGAAACCCTGCCGCCCACAACGCCACATCTGCTGCAAAGATCTTTGCCGTGGTCTGGCCATGGAAAGATCCCTTGAAACAAAAACTTTCCGTCAGCTACTTCTTCGTTACAAGCCTGCCTGGCTCGGAACAGCGTCAGCTCGCGCGGCTATCGACGCGTGTGTAGGTCAAACAACGGGGACGGTGAGCACAGGGCGAGAGCGGGGTGCATCGATGGCGATCCGAGACAAACATTCATGACGAAACGATTGTTGGTCGTTAGCGCATGTTTGAGGTCTACCAAGAATGGCCAAGGGCAAAGCAGTTGGACCACTCTCCTGTTCATGCGGATGCGTTGGCCATGGTTCACGGCCCCCTTGGTTGTAAATTCGAGGTTAGTGTAGATAGATAAACTACAACACATGTTTTCCCGAGGTGTTTGCGCACGCAAATCTTCATCCTCATGAGGAAAGGCCAACCGTTAGACTAACCGAGTACGGGGACGTCAGGTCGCGTCGGACGCGTTAGCAAGACGACCTTGAAAAGGCGGCGGGGATATTTCCTGCTGGTACTACACAGTCTGGTCGAGGCGTACCTCGGCTCCTTCCCGGCACACGTGGATAGCATACTCCAGACACTTGGCCGTTTCCTCCGGCAGGTTGCCGTCGCCCTGTCGAGAGATCGAGACGACAGACTTGTCCGGGCTGAGCTCGAACTCTCCGCCGAAGTGTACTCGAAAGAAGCGCAGAAGGATCATCAGAACGTTCTGACAGACGAACACGCAAGAAGGGTGGTAACGCCGGGCGGCGCAACCAACGAGAATATTTCGGTCGGGGGGGTATAAACTTACGCGTGTTCTCACGCTCAAGTGTATTTCGTGGTAACTACCTATTTGCGCGTAATATCCCTTGTTTTCTTGACAATACCACCTAACACACTGCCATGCCCCGGGCTATCTTCACGGAGCACCGGTGCTCTTTGATTTGCGCCATCCCGCCTGCTGAGAAATCGTCCCCGAAGTAACCGGGTATCTTGCCATGAGCTAGTACTACTGCCGCTATGTCAGCCGTCGCGCAGCTACCGAGCTTCGCTGCTGTAGCCGCAACATAGCACTCTCATCAAAACAAACGTCGTCCGGAATCGCCGAGGGGGTACCTCGAAAAAATGTCCACCCACCGCGTCTTGGTCCTTGCGTAGCGCCAGGTTGACCCTATACGCCTGTGCCTCGTGTTGCCCGACCCACACGAGACCCGCCAGCGGCTGGACCCCCTCTCCTTCCTCGAGTCCCACGTCATCCTCGTCAGCCGTCGATGCGAGTGAAACAAACCTTACGCCGGGAAGCGGGGGAGACGGGTGGGGGCGATCAGCACCAAGAGCCTCAACCAACATTCAGGCCAGACGCAAGCAATTATTCCGAGAAAGTCCGGTAGTTCTAAACACCCCGCGCATGCTTTGAACCGGAGGTGGGTGTACTGCCAAGCCGATAGAGAGGTCGATGAACTCTGGCCGGCTCTCGCTGAAAATCGAAAAGGCATTGGTAGTGGTGCCCTTGTGTTTTGGGGGTGAAAGCTCACGTTGCTAGCCTGCGCTTGTGACGCGGAGCGCCCCCCTTCCTGGCCGTACGTTCCCGATGTTCGATGACCCCTGCGCCTTGCTCTTCTTCTCCGTGGGAGCCCCCCCCCGATCTCGCGCTGCAGAAGGTTCTCTCTGAAACCAGTAGCAAATCCATGCGATGTAAGGATAATAGGCGCATGGCGATGGTATAGAGAAGCCCCCAGCAGCATCGTAAGCGTTGTCGTCGAAAGAGCGGCGTGGCTAGCAACATCACCATTGGCCAGGTTCATCGAAAAACGAGGCTACTCTTCGTTTTATACTAGACCGGCGGGGCACAGCGGCAGGTTCGCTACTGGTTTGCTGCTTATAGACTAATGCGATGAGCGCGCTATTCCTGTGCCAACCAACCACCGCATCTCCCTCTTAAACCAAGCAAAGAGCGGGCGGAAAACATTTATTCTTCTTCTTGATGAAACACGTTTCTCTGCTGCTGCGGTTCACCAGGCGGGATCCTCGACTGTTCCCCACCGGCTCCCCTTTCGAAACATCGGAAATGTAAATGTTGCTTGCTTTCGTTCTTGTGCGCATGTACTGGGAACCCAAACCAACGCATGTTTTCAGGGGCGGCAAAGGGCATGGGCTCCCGACAGAGCCGATCTGCCGGAAATTGCAACACGCTTCCTCACGAGACGATCTGCCGGAAATTGCAAAAAGCACGTGACCAATTTCTCACCCCTCTTGCGCACACAACCAGACGGTCCTTCGCTCGTGTATGTTTCTATCTGACTGATTGGCCACAGAACCAAGGCGGCACCAAGTGTTCAGCCTGGGTTTCGCACCCACGGCCACACCGTTTTACAAGCCGAAATCAAACCATCAGACATGTAGTCAAACCTCTTTAGTCAGAAGATTCAGATGACTACTGTAGCCTCATGGTTTGACTTCGGGTTCTAAGACACACCGAACTTTCTATACACTACCCGAACACACGGAAATACAGAGTGTAGTTGAAAGTTCAATCTCTCCGCACACGCCGAGGCAGAGCAGCTGTAGCTCACCGCTGGGAAGTAGTGAGCCCTGGTGGTTGTTCCCGTTGTCCTCCACCATGGCGTCCTCTGGCCCCGCCGGGTCTGCCTGGCCCGCCTGAAAAAAAACACACGATTCGGTCTTCTCTTGGTGGTGATCGTATAACAACCGTTCGCCCACTCCGGCCCTACTACTGCTGCACACCCTGCAACAAAATATTGCCCCAAGGATGAACCCCCCGAACACCTGTCTGCCGATGGCGTAGTATCGAAGGTTTTTGTTCCCAATCCCACTGACGAGAACAACAGCGTCTTTGCGGTGCTACAGCAGTGTAGTGCAGGTACGCTTCCTCTGAGAAACAGCAGCTGTTTTCGGCAAGGCTGAAAGCCTCACAGCAGTGGGTGAGAAGAACGTACATAGGACACAGAACTCGATGGTGGAGAGAATCGGTTGTAAATTGTTACCACATCTCCTCCCGCAGCTATCCTTGTGGAAACGTGGAAACTCAGGTACAAGGTTGAAGGGGGGGTGGGTCCGGACCGCAGACTACCGTAGGGTGCGCAAGATACCATACTCCATACTCCCTGGCGACCGAATTCGACAGCTCGATTACTCCACGACGAAAGGATACCGAAATCAAATCACACGTGTTCGGAAAGCTCTCGATGAGGCGGTCCAACGCCGCCATTTCCGGCATCGTCGCTGCTTTTTGCTGCGGAGAAGTCAAGCTTTAAACCATCCGTACAGGGGGTGTGATATTACGCAACCTTCACCGCTGGCAGTGCACGGAGAAGCAGAGGCACACAAACCTCCATTAATCTCACACATTTAGGATCGTGTCTTTTTGGTGCTCCGTGTCCGGTGGTATGGGATTCTGATCTCCCCTCCCGCCGCACTTTGCACTCCCTACGAAACGAGCAATAGCATTACAGCACAGCAGTGTAGTTTGTCGTGGGTGGATACTGCGGTGGAGACGCTCGCCTTCTTCTTCGTGCTCTCCCACCTGGAAATAGCGCACACCCACCAGCAATTGGGCAACTGGTGCGGCGGCCTGTCCCAGTGCTCGCTGAAAGCACCCCTTGCAGCCGAGGATTGGCGCACCGGGTTCCTCCTTAGCGCCTAGTCCATCATAATCAACCTCGATATCGCCACCGAGCGACCTGGCCTTGACCTGAAGGTGCATGCATGTTGAGCGGTTTTTGTAGCAGTTTGGAACATATCCGGCGCAAATGAGAAGAAAAGAGCGGAATGGAAATCACAACCGCAGTTGTGACCAACTTCGCAAAAAAAGTACAACACCCGATGGAGGAAAAGCACGACACCTGGTATCTACCTCTCTCCCTCCTAAATGGGTATCTACCTCTCGCCTTATGTGTACTGCTGTATCTCCGATGCCACTACAACATGAGAAGTCTACTGTAGACGATGCACGCTCCCACGTAATCTTGGCTTGTGACGTCATGTACCCGGGGGACGTTCTGCTGGGCCGAGCAAGAGCAAAAGACCTGCACTTCGTTCGCCACGCCGTTGCACGTTGGTTTGTGGTTGGACATGCCACCCTTGACGGCGTGTGCATCTCGATCCCAAACGTCAACAGAGCTCCTGTTCCGTGTGTGTGTTCGGGGCTGTACCAGGTACACCAGAGAGGATAGCACACCTTTTCCCCCGCACAGCCGCCGCCCAGGCTCGTCCCGACACAGCCGCCGTCCGGTTCCACAAGAGATCCACCAACGCCTAGCGAACTCACACCCCAAGATCCTCGCCCACTCCCAGATCCATGCGTGCGATCCTCTCTGTGATTGCTCGCACAACAAAGAGAGACATCTACCGAAAACCTGGAGGCATTGTGTGGTGTGTGGTGTCCATTCCCATCAAAGAGCCCAAACTGAACCAGCGCCGAACCGATCGATGTGACGGTTCACCTTCATGTGCGTTCGTACGACGTACGACGAATGCCGACAGCAGTTTTTAGTAGACTGCGCCCTCGCAACTGCTGTACGAATGTAGTATGCATGCCGTGATCTACCACTTCTGCTGTAGTCCGCGAACGGAGATCGCTGCTGCTGCTATCGACTAAAATAGGTATTTTCTATGTGATGATACAAAGGGCAGCCGTAGTACAGCAGTAGCATTCACTTCTTATGCTGTATGCAGTACTTCGTCTTACAGCAGTATTCTACATGATACACTTGTGTAGATTATTCTCTTTCAAAACCTGGAGTATTCCAGCTGACTGGACATTTGGTTTGATCCCTGATTGTCGGCGGGGGCGGCCTGTTGAAATTCCCCTATAACGTTGTCAAAGAAATGGGGGGGGGGAGACTATACCCGACTACGTACACTGCTGTACTTGTACGCATATAACGCGGGGAGTACGCCGCCCAAATGTGACTTTGCGTCTAATAACTGCTGTCAACATGATTATCAGCAGGGTGTCGTTTGAGAAAGTGTAGTCTCTACGGTAGCCTTTAGTCTTCGTCTCGCGAACAACGTGCTGTGGGATGCAGGCATACTACGAGCGTTTTGCGCGAGGGGTTGCGTGCGGCCGTTCTACAACCTGTGTCCTCACAAGTGCCAGATAAACTTCACTCTACATGTAGCTCGGAAGGCAGACATACAGATGGAATGTTACAGCTTTGCGGGCCGCGGAGGTATGACGCGTCAATAGCTGGGTGTGAGTTCCAGCCTTGGGCGCATTCCAGCAACAGCGCCGCCGACGCTTCCTCGTAGAAGTATTTGTTAAAATGCCGAGGTACGTACTCGCCACTGTTGTTGTTCCGTCATCGGTGGGTTTGGACCTTCTCAGGCAAACAGTCGCGAAGAAAGTGATACTCAACGCACGGGGTGCACAGCCACACAAATGTAGCAGGTAGACCAAGTTAAGGATCCTCAACCAGGAGCTCTTTTCCCAGTGCTGCTATCAAGACACCGAGTAGCCGCAATAACGCTACGCTTAGTCTTAAGTCTTTTTGCGATCAGCCTATAAAGAGACCGAATTACACTTCGACCCAACGAAGTCGGTGTCTACGTTTGACGGGTCGGAGCTCTGGTCGCAAGGCTCGCCAAGCTCTCTTCTGGTCTCTCACGGAAGAACGAACTCTCTGCGGTTTTGATAAAGCTGAGGCGCTTTTGTCTTCTTTCCGACGAATCGTGGCCGCCTCGTTCGTTCGATACCCGGGAAAGGCAGTCCGCCCGCGGCGCCCACGCCCAGCCCCATCTGCACGGGAAACACAGCAGCAGCAGTGCAGCAAAGCAACTGCGACGGATGAACTTCACAAGGAAAGCGAGATTGCGACTTGGCGGCCGTTCGACACACGCATACGTTGTCGTTTTCAAGAGTTGGTCCTACAATTGTAAGGTCCAAACGTTCGAATTTAGCACCGGTCGCGACACCGAAGAACCGAAACGCAAATAAATACATCCCGATAAACATTGCTACGGCAATGTCAGATTTAATGTCACGTGCACAGGAGTCGGCGCTTGTTTTGAGGGTTCACGCGTGCACATTACCTCAAGCGTGGTTTAGGCAACAGTAGTAGTAGGTGTAACCACAGTGGTTCCTAAAGCGAATCCCCATGGCAACGGCACACAGAATCGCCCACCACACAGGCCTGCGCGCGTGGTCAGCCCCAGTTGGCGTACATCCGACGCGTGTTGTTGTGATTGGTTCAGACGACGTGAAAAAAAGCACGTCACGTGCATACAAGGTCACGAATCCATGGCAAACAACGCGCTCACATTACGTCGACCCCGAAGCCACGGGCGATAGCCTCGATCGCCTGCCGCTGCGCGCCATCAGGCCTGAAAAACGCTTCCAACACGATGTCGCTCGATCGATCCTCCTCTAACCATCCCCGGACCCTCCCCTGGAAGACCTGGAGCGCCGTTCTCCAGTGCATGTCTGGGTGGCCCTGCGCCAAGGACTCCTCGTACACGTCGGCAATGTCCAACACGCGGACGTCTCGGAAACCCTCGCAGCTGGTGCGGAAGTGGGTTTTTCCCGTGCCAGACACGCCTCCGATCCCGTAAATCGTCATCGACTACTCCTGTAATCGGCGTCATCATCACAAAAATGTCCGGAGCGAGAATGGAGACAAAGGGAACGAAGCCCGGGTTGGGAAACAAGAACCCCGAACTCAAGCAGATACAAAGCACGGTTGACATTTTGTACACGAGCGTGGGGGTCACATCGCCAACATTCCCGCTGAGAGAATGGTTTGTGGTTTCGCTTCTTAAATCGCGACGATCAACAAGGAAACAACGAAATAACGGAAGAAACGCAAAAAAAACGCCGTGGGTGAGGGAAAGCAGTAGCTCACACCACTTTAAACGTGTTCTTTATTCAACCCTCAAAGGTGTGGAGTCTATTCGCGCGACATTCTTGTTGACCCTGCCACACACACAAGCAGAGATAAGCTATGCTGTAGCTAACTGCCTCGGACGGCCCGCAGTTCGGAGAACTTGGTCTGCGGCAGCGCTTACAACGGTAGATTGTGAATGTCCTCAGATTTGCGCAGTTTTCGGACTGCAGCTGCCTTCGATAGCACGGCCCCAGCAACAGACCGCGTGTCGCTGCTCCGTGATCTCCTCTACGGGCATAGATGGTCAAGTTGGGACTCTGCCACACACCAACCTTCTTTTTTAGCACACACCGTATCGTTTTTTTTAATTCAATTTATAGAACGTGGTTGACATGGTGGAATTGACATGTTGGAACTGTTTGTCCTGGTTCAGGAGAAGGTGTGTGTAGAGGCAACACCGTAGACTCCATGCTAAGCTCAGCCTTATCAGGCAACCCTGATTTATTGCCTGACAGCCCCTTTTCAGATCGGGGTTGCCTGAGAGGGTGTTTGGTGCCTGACATGCCTGACTTTCGCCAGGCAACGCAGCAAACCGCCAAAACACGTGTCAGGCATCATAAAATAAACGCCAAATCTCATAAGTAGGTATGTAGGGGGCCGAGGGGTGCCCGCCCGTGAGACACAGCGAGGGGGAACAAATCAAGCACGGACCCCCTCCCAATTTGAAAACACGCGCGCACGAGCAGCAGCACAGGGCACAGGACCAGGAGCCAGGAGCCAGCACACACGCTGTAGTCGCTGTAGACCTGCAGAGTGTAGAGTGTAGAGTGCCGACTGCCGCGGTGGGATACCACTGCAAGGAGCTGTATCATGCCTCAGGAAGAAGGCACCACTGCAACTGCGTCTGTTCCAGCACCTGCGGCTGAAGCAGCTGGGGCGAGCAGCGCAGCTGCTGCATCACCTGACCCACCACTCCGGTTACCGGGGTCTAGACGTACCAATCCAACTGAAGCGAGTGCTTTTTTGTGTTCACAGGCTGACTACCATCCGAAAACCGATCTACCGAGAACAAGCGAGTATATGACAAGAATCACCAAAGACGCAATAACAATAACAGTAAAAGAGAAGAGAGCAGGGGGGCACACCAACATGAAACGCATCGCAACACTCGGTAGTGTCGTGCTGGCAGTGTGTCGTGTGGTCGTGCAGCAAGATGCTGCCAGCTTCTTGCCAAGATGCTGCCAGCTAACTTTTCTTGCCCGTGCGTACATGAAAGGGATTGCGGGAAAGTCGAGGGCGCGCCAATAATCTGGCTGCTCGCATTTACCTTCGGTCATATTTTAAAAATCCTGGCCCCCTGCTCCTAGAAGAGCTCGTTGACTGTTAGCGTTGTCTATTTAGCGCTTCTGCACACACCAAACAGATGGAAGTGGGGGAGGATGGTAATTATCGGTTTACCATGCCTTGCGTCGGCGGGGAACGCTTTGCTTGTTGTCGAATGTTGAATGTCCGAATCTTGTTTTGAACGTTTGTCTGGTTTCTTTGGCATCTGTACAATCTTTGCGAAGTAATGGTTTTCTCTGTTTCTTTCTGCTCCTCCAGCTTCTGTGTGCTCTCTGTATGTACCTCGCCCCTCGCCCGCTTCAAGCAACCTCTTGCTGATGATGTTGGTGGAGTACTGAGTCGAGACGCATGGGGTGAATGGGGGGACCAACGGGGCAAATAAATGTTGTTTGCAAAACATAAAACAATATATATATTGCGTTAACTACGTGTCTAAATATTTCAGTGTAAGCTCTGCATGCCAACACTGCCGGTGTACGTTAGTTGCGCGCTACAGTTGCGTAATGAGGGCGCCAAAACGACTTGAATGGGTTTCAGGCAAGTGTCAGGCAAGGTTTCAGGCAGGTTGCCTGATTCAAATCAGGCATTTCAGGCAACCAATCAGGCATTTCAGGCAAAAACCTGGTGTCAGGCAAATGCCTGAAATTTTGCCTGACCCCAAAATTTTTCGCCTGCGGCGGGCTGTTTTGCACACGCCTGAAGCACGCCTTGGGCGTGCCTGATAAGGCTAAGCTTAGCTCCATGCTACCCTGGTGGAGACAAGAACACAAAACGCTACTACTGCTGTACTGTACAATTCGGAGTCTACCTGCTGTGTACCAAGCCAGCACAACGCCGGTGATGGCGTAATGGGATTGTCCTCGTGACGGTCGCCGGAACAATGCGAACGGCCGTAAGTTTTGAAAAAGATCAAAGACCGGAGCTACTCTACTGACTTGTTCTCTTCCGTGTTGTGGGCTACAGCAGTACTCTGTGCCACAACGAACGGCTTGCTTGTTGTGGCGTACTTTCCACTTGGTCTTATACATGTGTCTCGTGTTTGCTTGGTGCTACTGCTGTACCTCGGTTGTATCCAACAGTACACATACAGTAGTCAAAAATCAAGATAGATGGGCAAACCCCTTCGAGACAGGTTCAACACGTGACACAAGATACCACACCACCTGGAGACTTGTTATACTGCTTGTAGATCGATTACCGTTAGTCCACGACGAAGAGATGCAAACATGAAACTAGATGAAACGATCCATATGTTTTCGGAAAGCTGTCGACGAGACGTTTTCAACGCCGCCGTTTTCGGTGCTGCCACTATTTCTGCTCTGTGGAGAAATCGAGCTTTGAACAAAGGTCCGAATTTGTGGTACCAACCAACGTTGTCCAAGGGTCCAAGGATTTTGGTACCCACGGAATGTGTTTCCCCGTAATTTTGACTCGGGCATCGCGGTTCATGGCTGCGGGAGGCTGAGGCTTATTGTTGGGGCAAAACAACCCTCGCCAGTTGTAATCACAAACAACCCTCGCCAGTTGTAATCACAAAACAACCCTCGCCAGTTGTAATCGTGGCGGGCATAGCTACTCATCAAACCGTTGGCGTGTTTTGCGCTGATGTGGGAGACGCGCTGGTGTACTGGAATTTCGGGGTGCGAGCGTACACGTCATCGAAAAACTTCACACAACAGTCCCATCTTTCAGAGGGCAAGCAATACATCACACGCACCTTTCCGCTGCTGCATAAGTGGGGTCCAACCAGTCGGAAGAGTACCAATAAAGCTAGCCTATCGTGGTTGTGTCCTCGCAGCGTGACACGCAGGCATCATCCGCAGCTTTGAGTCGTTGTCGCACCGCTCTTTTCATTGGAATCCGGCTCTATTTGTTTTCATCCCCGCCCCCCTTGTCTAACGCCTCTTTGAAGACATTCGTGGTATGCGATCAAACGAGCACCCCCAAATAGTTCCACCCCTGCGCAACAGCTGGCTACGACGGGGTCCGAACAGGCAGCATGCTCAGCCGGCTGAAGGTGCGGCATGAGTTTTTTTAGGCTGGCTTGCTGGCGTGTACCGGAATGGACTCTTGCCAGTGTGTGCGTATGGGGTCTATGAAGACCCTCAAACACCTTCCCCAGTTTGGCCCGGCGGGGCTTTCGCTAATAAAAAAATGACGTTTGGTTGGAGACTGAAAAGGGGCGAGCCGTCGAGATTACCGAGAGGTTGGCGATAGGTCCACGCCGAAGCAGACAGTTCCTCGTAGGTCTTCCCGCTCTCTGGGACACGTGGCCTTTCTTCGGTAGGTGTGTGTGGCATGTCTGGCCGGTGCCGCGCCGTCGCCGATTCTCATCGGGGACGGAATGCGCCTATGATTTTTTACAGTTGAAGGAGGCTGGACGGGAAAAGATTGCCACTTTGACGTAAGGGCGCGTCGCCTACGACCACGCCGTTCACAGTTCACAGCCACGTGGGGTGCATGGTCAGTCAGGGACGTTCGGTTCTTCCCTCGTGTGTCTCGCCAGATGAGGCACTGAATGCGTTCATGTTTCGCGGCGACACCTGCAAGTTTTGTGTTTTTTGTCCTTCACAGCGGCGCGAAGGGCGTGTGATTTGCTTGACGTCATCGATATGTGTGGGCCGCCTTTTCTCTCTTGCGTGCGAAACGAAATGTGTAAATATATCCAGAACAAGATGACAGAGAGGCAACCACGACACGCGAATCCAGCAAAATTGTTTGGTTTTGTTACGCACAGGGTGAGGACGGGGCGTCACGGGTGCACCTGGCTCTTGGCGCTTTCTGCTGTGTGCATGTGCTGTTGTGTCGGGAAACCAAGCCGCGGTCGGCTCTACTGGTCGACTTTTAAAAATCTGTCACGCCAATGACAGGGCCGCCTGCTTGCTGCACCCACACATGCAAGACGTTGACGATTTTTATAATCGGCGCGCGAATGTGCTCACCTACCCCAGGCACTTCCGATTGCGCAGTCAAGAGCCACGCTAGACTGACATACAGCAGTTGTCCTCACCCCTTTGTTTTGGGAGAGATTGGTGAGCTATGTCACCACGAGACACATACACACCTGGCGGCGGCTGTCTATATACCGGAATGTCTTCTTATTTGATCAATATCCCAAATTACTTGCCGGGTGGAAATAGGCGACCTTTCAACGCGTGTGACACCACATCGAAACGGTCTGTGTCCGTTTATTTTACCGCTGAGAGCAGCAGCAGCAGCAGCATCAGTACGACGCTTCTTTACTGTGCGCTGCTCACCGAACGCTGCAACACCCCCGTAGAATCAGCTGTCGTGCGAGTGTTTCACCGCCGTGCCACGGGAAAGACGGAACTCCGTTCATGTTTCCAGAAGATCCACGGATCCGCTAACCACAACCCCCAACACAAGCATTATTTGGAACGGAAGGAAGTCCCGGAACACTAAATAAAAGTGCTGCTGCTGCAGTGTGCCATTGGCACGACCAAGCTTGGCCCGAGCCGCCTCTCTCGCTGTCATGTTAAGAAATTGGTTCTGCTGCTGTTTTCTGGGTGTGGTTTCGGCCGACCAGCGAGCCACATGAGTTGCCTTAGAGCGAAAAAACATCTCCAGAGGCTACACAGCAGTATCTGTATATATGTCTGTTTCCTTGGAGAGGAAGACATATCTCCAAAGAGTTGCGGACAGAACGACAGAACACGTCTCCATCAAATAAATACCGAGCGGACATGAGATAACCAAGGATCGTTTTTTTTCGAAGCAACCACTCGCGTAAAACCAAAGAACGACTCCCTCGTATGTTCGTGCCTGATATTGCCCCGTTGGAAGGGATGCGTTGAATGAAATATGCGTACTGTGAAGTCTTTCGGCATTGGTGGTTGCGGGATAGCTATTTTTTTTTCACATCGAAAAATGAAGAAGCGATGCGTCAGGACTTGGTTTGGGGGGAAAGCGATTTTGGTGTCCAGCCTATATGGACGTGGATACTCTTCATGTATAGGTGGAGAGCTGCTTTTTAAGCTTCCTATAATAGATGTCTTGAGTTATTGGCTGGAAACACCAATGTATCAGGCAGGTATTGTTCACAGCTTTTTAGGGTATCAGCGCCTATGTGTCTACAACTGCCAAAGCTGGTTGCGCAGCTTGTTCAAGCAGCAGCTGCTGCTGTTGGTGCGTTGGTTCCAGAAAAGAAAAAAAGCACCAAGAGGCACACAGAGAGCAGCTTGTCTCTTTTCGGATAAAATCTAATTGCGGGCAGAAAGTCTAATCCTCCGTAAACTTTTAGGCCGCCAACGTTTATATCTGTATGAAGAATTAAATGACAATCCTTCAAAGATCCGGCCGTTCGCGAAAGATCTGGCTCCTTCGGGCGCACTGCACGCTTCTATCCACTACTGCTGTGTCCTGCGCGCCCCCCCCCCCGTTCTCTAGCCTACTGTTGTATGCATAGGTACAAACCGTACCTCTTCGGGAAGAAAGAAATTACCCCTCCAATCGACAGCGGTAGTAGACTAACGATCGAAGATCCGGCTGTTCCGCCGAGCGACACATCCACCGGCGCGCACGCACGCATCCATCCACCGCCCCCCGCCATCCCCCAACGTAGGTGTACCCCTCAACTGCGTATGATACTGTTGTATTCAGATACATATAACCTGTCGTTTTTGTTTTTTGTTTGTCTCACGGAGAGATTACCGTAAGGATGCGGGTCTTGGCACACGGCTGTGCGATGTGTTATTTTCTTTTTAAATCTTCCGTTCCCAGATTTGTATCGTACAGGGGGTGCCAAGACACATCGATGCGTGACCCATGAACCATGCCCCTGCGGAAAATATGAAAAAAATACGGCGAAATACATACCAAACCCGAGGCGGAAAACTACCTTAGAATTCCCCGTCACAAAAGGTACATTTACGTGCTCACACACACACAAACAAAAGCAGCACGTTGGCTACGATGTCCTTCCCGGTATGCTACCTGTTTTTCGTAATCTAGATAGTCGTTGGGTTGTGTACGCGTTCTTGGTTGATCGAGTGGATACCGTTTGCCGATTTCGACAACAGCAGTTACAACATTGAACAGACAACAGTAACAACATGAACAACTAGTGTGCCCTAGAAATACCAAAGCGACATGACTTGCACATGAGCAACGTCACGGGCGGTGCCGGTGTACAGCCGTGGAGCCCATGATGCAAGCTCCCGTGGTGCAGATTTTTTTCGCGAAGAATGCTGAACCTCGTCGAAGGTATCGGGGGTCTCCGCACGCAACTGCTGTGCGAAGCGAATGATACCTTGTGCGATGATCAATCAACTGAATCCCCTGGAACCCCGATTTGTTTCGGCACCCCCCGTTGCCAAATTCACCCCCGACACCGTGCGACCCGAATTCTTACGGTAGGACGATTTACCACAACTTTTTGATATTTTCTTCTGTTTTGTTCCCTTTCCGGACTTTCTTCCAGACGGCCGCTCAAGGGGGGCCGGGCACGACCGGTGACGACAGCGCCGGCACAAGCAAAGCAGACAGGAACAGCAAGTGGGGGCGTCGCGGCGGCGGCGGCAAGCCGGCGGAGCGAGACCAGTTCCGCGTTCAGCAGCAAGGGTTTTACGTCAGGGGTGACCTGACCGTCGATGTGTTTCAGGCGCGAGGCCTGCGCTTGGGGAGTGCCACGGAGAGGTGAGGTTCGGACGAGGGGGCGACGTACATGACACGCAGTAGGGGGGGGGCGGCGGCTCGCCACAGCAGTCAGTCGCACAAAGAATGTTATTTCTAGTGTGAATATACAGGTGTAGGGTGACTTAACAGTCAAAGAGGACGGGTACCTATGGTAGGCGGATCGTTGCTAACATTTTTTTCCCCTTGCCTCTGCCTCTCCCTCTCCTCTCTTTTGTGACTGCCGTACCCTCAGGAACCCGTACTGCGTGGTGTTGGTGGACCGAGTAAAGGTCGGAGAGACCCCGACAGCGTCCAAGACAGTGTCGCCGGTACGTAAATCGTCTCTATTCCCCTCTCGTCGCTGTCTCTCTCTCTCTCTCTCTCTCTCTCTTTCTCTCTCTCTCCCCCTCTCCCTGTCCCTCTCTCTGTCGTTTCTCTCTCTCCACCATAGACAGGCTCTCCTTCTAGATAGATGTTCTCGGATGTGGTACATTAAACGCACCGGAACAAGTAATGCAAGATAATGATGACGTGATCTCAGCTTGCCCTGTGGCCGGAGGGAGGTCGACATCGATACATTCAACAGGGCTGTTGTGGTTTTAGTGCGGCCGTCGTTTTCAATCGTCGAAAGGGAGGGTCTGGAGGGGGGGGGGGGTCTTCCTCTAGACTTGTGGCGACGCAAGTCGCCTCGCAACCTTGGTTTGTTGCACGTGTGGGTGCTTCCCCCTCTCCCCGATGTACTTGCTGGCATGTCAGCATCAATGGTGTAGTGACACCGAATGCATCGGCCCTTGCGTTCTCTTCCGCGTTTTTTTTTTTTTTTTTTTCACTTCAAATCAGCACTCACAGCACTATTATAGTTCCTTTTATTCCAACCCGTGGTCACACAGAAGAGCCTCTCTCTACCCTCCCCTCCGCGTTGGTCGGTGTGGAATGACCCGCTGGTGTGGGCCACGGCCGTCTCGCCGAGCGACCACCGCCATACCTTTCGCTGCGGGATAAGTCAATCAGCTGCTGTTTGAGAGTTGTGTGTTCCTGAACGATCCGATTTCAAACACTCGAACTAACGAGTAGTCTACTTCGCACATTGGATGTCTGTTCGACGGCATACCGAGTAACCGGCCGGCTCTTTCTTATTTTGTTTACAAGTACACTGTTTTTTTTCCTCTCGCGGCATGTACCAGGTGTGGAACCATCCCGTGAAAGTGTCCCATGAGAGCTTCCGGAGGGCGGCGGATACCAACGTCTGGCCGGTGCCCTATCAGCCGCTCTCTGTCCAGGCGAGTACCAGGCGTCCTGTATGCATGACACGAACGGCGGTATTGTTTGGGGCCGCAGAATCAAGTGGCGGTTGATTTGTCTTTTTTTGTATATATCTTTTTTTCGCTCCATTGTTGGCTCAAGGTCGGTGAAACTGAGGGTTTTAGAAGCTCCTAGCTAGATTATTTTTGTGCGACATGTTCGGAAACATCAACAGATTTGCGGTGAAAACGACACGAGTCTGTTGGGGCCAAACCATGCCAGTATCGACCATTTTTCCCGGGTAGTGCTGTACACCTTGAATCCCCGCATGTCGTCGAGCGAGAAGAGTACAGCAGTTATGTTCCTCACGAAAGAGGCTTCCGCCGTTGTTTCTCCCAGCAACCACCCGCCACGCCCCGCTGTTCTTCGTCTTTTGAGTCAACTGGACCCCGGCTGACCCGTCGGAAAAGGTGTACACCGACAGCTGTGTAAACTGGCGCCAGCATAGGTTAGATGAACACACCCACCCACGCATATTGCTTTCTTTCATCGGTCAGCCGGTTAGCGCGGTCGACGCTAATAATAAAAGGCACACACACAAAGCATCAAACACTCAAATTGGCTGTTGTTGCTGCCTCCCGCCGACCGCCCTCCGCGCGGTTCCTTAGGTGTGGGATCGTTCCAACACCTCGGATGCCCTCCTGGGGACCGCCCGAGTCCACATCACCGACGCCCTGTCTAGCGGCGACAAGAACGGCTGGTACAAGCTTGTGGGCACAGGCGATCAGGTAAAGGAACTGCGTTTCATCCCTGCCTTTTGGAAACCATTAGGGGCGCTCTTTTCAGGAGACACCGTGTTTTCAGGAACATGGTGCCCCGCAGAATGCAAATAAACAGGTCCAAAATACATTCGTCCCTGAAGGATATCAAAATTAGGGACGCTCTTTTTAAGAGACACCATGCTTTTCGAAACCGTGCCTCTTGTGACCTTCTTGCTAGGCAACCCAGCTACTACAACCAAACCCGCCTCTTCCGTTGGTTGCTTACAGGCACAGGATAGAGATCCTCCTCTAATATTTTTCAGCAGGAACATCCGAATACATTATGGAAGTACATCGTCTACAGGCGTAGTCGTAATTTTTGTGTGGGTGTGTCTATTGTGTACTTCTTATTTTTATTTTCAGGCCGGGGTCGAAGAGGTTTGCGGCAAGATCCGGGTGAAGGTCCACTGGGAGTCAGAGACGCTAGTCTCTTCCCCGGAAGACAAGCCGAGACTGTTCCTGAGGGACGTGTTCGGGCCGGACCAACGGGTGAGGGTGCGGCTAGGAAAAGACTCTCGTCAACCACAGGGACACCCAAGTATCAATCGTGTGCCCTAGTGATGTCCGAGCAGCATAAGGGGGTGTCTGATGCTGGGCTGACCGATCGCAACTGCTGTGCTTCTGCTGCTGTGTCTCTAACAGGCTCGCCTCAGCGCAACTGTGCTTCTGCTGCTTTGTCTCTAAAAGCCTCGCCTCAGCCCAAACCTGAAGCCTTTTATTTGTCTCTGTCCTTCCTTTTTGTTTGCGGGATGCAGGACTACCAGCACCTGTACTACGGCGGCCTCAGCAGCACCATGCTGTGCCCGCCCGCAGGCGAGGAGGCTCTCCTCGAGGTAAGCCGAGACCACGCGCCGTCATGACTGGCGGCTGGCACTAAAAGAGAAAAAAGCGGCCACGACGCGCTCGCCTCGAAGTGTCCGTGTGTGTACATGACTTTGTAGATAACACTTGTTCAAAATTCGTGTGGACCGTAGTCCAGACCGGCGGCCGGCACTGGCAGGAGGCCCGCGACCCCCGTGCCCGCCTGAAGTTTTTCTGTGTGTTACTAACTTTGTAGACACTCAGTTTGAAATGTAGAAGGACCGCCGTCCACGCTGGCGGCCGGCGATGACACCTCGAAGTTTACGTATGCATGACTTGGCAGAAGTAACACTCTGCTTGGAAAATATGGTAAGGACAGCCGTCCAGACAGGTGGCCGGCTCTCACAGGCGGCCACGTGCTCGCCTCAAAGTTTTCTTTTGCATGGCTTTGCAAATACACCTCTGTTTGAAAATGTAAATGTGCCAGTCCCTAGTCTCCAAGACGATTGGCATTTGCTTTCGGTCGTGGTAGGCACCGCCCCGCGTTCCCCACCTCAAAGTTCTCCCGTACTTGACTTGATTTTACTTGCGCGTCAGACAACCACACCAATGGTTGGCATTGTCGGCCACACCAATGGTTGGCTTTGTCGGCCAGCCTTGTCTTGCCGCGCACGGTCGGCACCTCAGCCCGCCCTCTTGTTGGACGTATTGTATATACGTGGTCCTTTCATGTTGCATGCCTGCACCCTGCAGCTGATGATGGGGGTCAGCAGACATGATGTCACCGCCAACAACCACGGAAAGGGCGTCGAGGGAATGCTGGTCCTGACGGAGCTGAGGCTGCTGTTCCTCCCGGACATCGGCGTCGGATCCACGACGGCGTCTTTCCTGGAGTTCAACACGGTGCAGGTGTGTGGGTGTGTGGGTGACCCTGTTCGCAGCGACAGCAGTGTCATCGCGTGTCGTGTTCATAGTTCATGGTTTTAATGTTGCTGATAAGTTCCTTTTGTTGTGCAAATTTTGTGGCTTAAGCATAGAAGCAGAATTTTTCAATTGGAATTTGTTGCTTTTGCTACTCCGCGAATACCTACACAACACGAAGTCTGGCTACATTTCTTGCTGTTGCTACTCCGCTGAGTACCTACGCGTAACGCCTCGGTGTCCTGGGGTAATGAGAAACCGTGTATCACAATCTTCGGCAACATGTACCAGGTTCTACGACACTTACAAAACTAATACCTAACTGTGGTTGAATCTTGTCATGCTCGGGCACTAGATGTAGGTGCGGTCAAAGACAGAAGGTACCATGAAAGGGCCACACCGCTGCTCTGGAAGACACTCTCTCAATACGCGTCAACTACTGCCCAAATGGCCTTACAACTAAGACTAAGGCATGTACAACATGCTTGGCAAGGTAGGAAGGCGCGATTGGCCATCGGTGATCGGCCCAACAACGCTCTGTCCTCTCGTGGCCACCTACCTCTACGGCATGCAAAACATGAGTCCCCCCCTCTCCCCGCCCCCGCCCCCGCCCCCGCAGGTGTACCTCGCGGCGGTGAGAAACTTCTCGCACAGGGGTCTGGAGGGGGGGGATCGCCTCCTGTCCATCACCACCCGCGACGGGCGCTTCGTGCACTTCCGCATGCCGGCGGCCGCGTCCGCCGCTCGGTGCGGGACGTGGTTCGACACGGAAGGGCCTCAGCAGCAGCGGCGGCGGTGGCGGGTCGGGGGGGGCACGCAGAGCAGCAGCGGGAGGGAGGAGCTCTGGCAGAGGGGGCTGTGGGGGGCGGGGACCAGCGAGCTGTGGATGGAGCGCTTGGTGGACGAGGTGTGGTTGTTGTTGCTACGACTGCTGTGACGCTGGTGTGGTGAATGAAGATGGTGTTTGCGTGTGCTCTGGTGTTGATTTATGCTGGCGGCGGAATGCTGTGGCCGGGGGGGGGGTCACGAGTGCTGATTGTGGCCAGTTGCATGCATACGCCGGACGTGTTCGCTTTGAAACCGTCGGAGGTGAGGTCATACAACACCGCTTGTCGTACCGCACCAACCCATCTCCCGTCCTCGTCTGCTGCTTACCCCTGAACACGCTGCGCCCTCTTTTCGCAAAAAAACGAAGATCCGGTGGAGGAAAGCGTCCGGCGACTTCGTTGCCCTGTGGCACAAGCTCAGCGAGACCGCGGCCAACCCCCGGGCGACGGCGGCGGCCACGATCGCCGTCCCTTCCTCCTCCTCCTCCTCCTCCTCGAGCGCTCAGCCCCCTTCTTCTTCGCAAGCTCATCACGCAGCAGCGACGGCCAGCAACAACGCCGCCGCGGCGGCAAGGCTAACCGCGATCCGCGCCGCCGCCGCAGCCGCGGACGCGAGGGGAGACCTGGCGGACGGGCGCGGGGCTCTGCAGCGGGACCTGGAGAGGATGGGCGTGCCCAAGGCTGGGGGAGGGGGAGGGGCGAGCTACGCCGCGTTCGGGAGGCAGATGTGGGAGTTCAAGCCCGTCAACAAGGACTACGCGCTGTCGCCCACGTACCCGCAGGTGGGTCATGTGGCACGCGTGTGTGCGTTTCTTTGTGTGAAATAGCATCGACCGCGCTAACCGGCTGATGACCAACGGAAAGACAGTCAGGTGTCCGTGTGTGTGTTTTTTAGCATCAACGGTCTGTGTGTTTGTGTTTGTGTGTCATTTGTTGTTGTCATCAGCCGCGGCTGACCAATGAGACTACGTCAGCAGGATGAAAATGCGCGCGATGATGTGTGTGCCAGTGTCGGGACGCAACACAGGGTAGGGTTGTAGCCTTGATTATTTCTTCCTTCCTTCCCATCCTCCATGAGATCAACAACTCCTGTGAGCGTTGGAACTAATATTATACTGTGAGCGTTGGAGTCAAATCAGCCCATGTGACCAGTTTGGTCCAAGACTGGCCAACAGCTTTTTCAACCTTGTCTCTGGTGATGATCTCCTTTAGCTTATTCAAAAAAACATTAAATTGTGTTCGTACGGCAACAAAGCTGTTGCACACAGTACTCACACACCTCCTTGGAGACATAGGCCTACTGGGTATCGAAACCCATGGGATGCCGTGTCTGCCCACCCCCAGCTGAGACTGTTTGGTTTTCGCCTGCGTTCGGGGCGGCATGGGCACGACCCCCGCCCCTCCTTAAAGGGCGGAAACGACGGGACGCAACAAAAAATACAGGCAGCGGAAAGTACAAGTACGTGATTTTAGGCGATGGTCATCAAAGCGCTGCAACCAGCAACGGTATCTACCACGGACACACTCGCCAAGAAGCTGTTGTACTTTTCACACTTGGCAAAGCTACAACATGAAACACACACACACACACATCCGAATGCTACGCCTTTTCTTCCGCGCCAGGCACTGGCGTTCCCGTCGTCCATCACGCCAGCGCAGCTGTCGGCGGCGGCGCCGCAGCGGAGCCGAAGCCGGGTGCCGGCGCTGGTGTGGCTGCACCCCGCCTCGAAGGCTCCCCTTTGCCGCTCCAGCCAGCCCATGGCCGGGATGACCACCAAGGTAAGGTGCTTGAAGACACTTGGGGAAGTGTGTACTTTTGTGAGGTGAAAGCTGTAGGGGTACATCACAGTGGTGCGTCGAAGTGGATATGTAGCAGGTGAAGGGCAGCTGGAGTGGAAGAGACGTGACAGCGGTTGCGTCGAAGTGGGTATGCACAGCAGGTGGGCAGTTTGAGGTAGCTGGAGTTGTGTGTAAGAGGTGTACAGCGGTTTCATCGAAGTGGGTAGCGGATGGCGAGTGTCGCGCGCCTTTGTTGCGGCGCTGCGTTGATTGGATGGGCAACATATCCCGGCTCTGCGAGCTGAAGGAAGTCTAAGGAGCGGGGTGGTCGGCGTGTACTCTGGGTTATCATAGCTCTGCATTATCCGTGTCGTGTGTTTGTCGATAGTTAAAAAAATTTTTTATCGCGTTTTTAGCCCATGGTTGTCTTACCTTTAACGGTGGACGTAGTTTTTTCTTTGTTTTTGTTCCGATTTTCAACAGTGTCGTGATCTCTTGCCCGAACGCTCGGGTACGACGGGTCTTTGTCCTCTGTGCATATTAGTCTACACGGCAACCTGCCGGAAATGACGTGCTTGCCCGTACCGCAGGTGCTGAGTGAGGACATTCACCTCCTCAAGCAGATCCGCGTGACGCTCGACGCTTCGAAGCTCAGCATCGTGGACGCGAGATCGCTGCTGAACGCTAAGGCAAACCAGGTATGACAGTGTTGGCTTGTTGCTGCACACAGGACATTTTTTTTTTTTTTCAAATCAGCGCTCACAGCACGTTGTAGTGCCGTTTACTCCAACCCGTGGTCACACAGAGGGGCCCCTCTCTACCCTCCCCTCCTGCGGTACGTTGCCTTCGATTTTTAATGCGAGAAGAGTTCAGCACTCTCTTCCCTCTGCGTATGGCAATACCAAACCAACAACTTGCGAAGGGGTATGTGGGAAGACGCGAACCTTCTCTGCGTGAAAGTGATGCGCCAGGCACGACCTTGTTCCAAATGGCGCTGGCATCCATGCACTTGAAAGTAAGAAACCGGCCAGGAGAGAATACGAAGACGCAACTGACACCTTGTGGAAAGAAAGGTCCGGAGAAAAGCAGCAGTAAACATGTGTACTGCTGTAGTATGTTGCAAGCCTGGTCTTTTGTTAACCGGGTCCTTTTTTTATTTATTTTTATTTCTGCATGTATGTATGTTGTGGTGCATAATCTTGTCGTGAAAAAATCAATCAAGGTCACCGGCAAGGGGTATGAGGACGTGAACGACATCGGGCGCGACGTGTGCACGCTGGGCTTCATGGGCATCGAGAACATCCACGCCGTCCGCGACAGCCTCGCCTCCTTCTGCGCCGCGTCTCAGGCGCAGGGGCAGGAGTACTTCCACGCTGTCGGAGCCAGCGGCTGGCTGCGACACCTCTCTCAGGTACGATCAAACAGCACGGCAGCAACCAGTAGCCTTGGCAGGGTTCTTCGTATTAGTATGTAAACATGTTGGATAAAGCATGCAGTCGGGGAAGTTGGGTTGGGGATATAGGGTCTGCGTACCCCCTCCCTGTTCTATTTCCTCATGAAACTTTATATTTCTCGCGAACGCGGTGCGCAGCAGTGCGTTGTTGCCGGCGAATATATAGATGTTTTATCTTTTGTTTGGTCGAGTACGTGTGGCTTTAGTTATTCCCTGTCCGTCAGGCAAGAGCAGGCAGCGGGGCGGCCATGGATGGTGCGAATATGGCCTCGTCATCCCTGTCCGTCGAGCGTCTAAATACTGTACCATTAGCCTCGAGTGCTTTTGGTGAAAAAGTGGCCGCGTCATCATTCCCCAAGATTTTGCTTTTTTTTAAAAGATGCGTGACGACGCCCGTCGGTGTGTGTGTGTGTAGCGGACACGTCTGTTGGGCATTCACCTTGTTGTGGTGGGCACTTGGTGGTTCACCTGCTGCAGGGTGGCTCGAGAGGTTGGTTAGGAGGCATTGTGACATCTCTCTCAGGCCTGCACTCTGTTGCTGTTCCGCAGATAAGGTTCCGCACGCTTCCTGTTGGTTGGTGCTGTGGCTGCTGTAAGAGCGAAGGTCATGAGCAATACTGTCGCGTTGTTGCCAACCTAGAATCACACTGGGGATGGAGATGTCAAACGTCTACGTGCCTGACCCCCTCTCCCCCCCCCCCCAGCACAATGCTTGTAACTGTCGCTGGAACTGAAAGCACCAGAAAATATACTAAGTCATTCGCAGCTGTCATCCGTATGCAAGGAAGTAAGCACAAGATGCCGAACACCCTTAGCAGGATGCAGCGCACCCTTCGTGCGACTCGCCGAATACCTCACGGCGCTTCGCGCTTGGTGATGTGAGAGCCTGGTCCGGTGAGAACCCGGCGTGCTCCGTCCCGGCTTTGTAGGGATGCGAGGTCAATGGTCTAACGACTACGGCATGCACGACAACGAGTGCACGCCCCCCTCCCCCCGCCCTCCCTTCTGTCTATCCTGTCGGCGTGCTGGCGTATTCCTCTCTAACCGTCGCAGATCATGAAGGGCGCGGCGTTTGTTGTCGACGAGCTGCAGAGAGGCATTGCTGTCCTTGTCCACTGCTCGGACGGGTGGGACCGCACGGCGCAGCTCACGGCCTTAGCACAGGTGCCATGCGTGTGTGTGGTGAAGGCGTCCGATCGGCAGTCCGTCGGAGACTTGCGTGTGGAGGCGTTGTACGAAGGATTAGAAGCGTCTGGTTGCCCCCCGGGGGGGGGGCGTGAGGTTTCTTGCCGTTTTCGCCCGCAGTGTCCGTTGATCTGCGTGTGATGCACACATGCGAGAGATGATTTTAGTTGTCGCACGCATTAGAAAAAAAACACGCCAAGGTTTTGGGCGACAATTTTTTTTTCTCCCGTGTGTTTATTTCGACCTGTGTACGTGTGAGCCCTCAAGCATGATGCAGAGTGAAATGACTACTTGCTATCCATACGAATACTGCCTTCGTTTTGCTCAACTGCGACATTTGCTGATGGCGCTGCTTTGTTTTCTTCGTGCATTCGTTTTTCTTTGCTTTTGGCCTGCCACAACAACAGCTGTACATGGACCCGTACTACCGCACCCTGGAGGGCTTCGAAGTCCTGGTGGAGAAGGAGTGGTGCTCTTTCGGGCACATGTTCGGCCTCAGGGCTCACTCGGACTCTCCCACGGAGTCGTCACCGGTGTTCCTGCAGTGGCTAGACGCTGTGTGGCAGGTAGGAGCCCGTGAGCTTGGGGGGGTACCGTTGCTTTGCATGTCTTTTGTGAACCTGTTAGAGGATTGACCATGTCCACGAGAGGACGGAGCAAGTGCCGATAGGACCGAGGTGACGGGGGGGGGGGGGGGAGGGTTACTCGTCACTTGGTTTCCGTAGTGTTTCGGCGGACCTCGCTGACATCTGGTTTCGCCAAATCACGATACCTGAAATGTTTAACACAACAGATCGTTAGGACGAGTAAGGTATACTTGTACAGCAGTGCGGTTTAAATGAACGCCGATATAGGAGATGTATGCATATGTCGGCTTGTCCAACCCTGTCTTTAATCGTAGCCGCCATGCTGTAAACTGCTGTAATCATCCGTCCTTTTTTAACACCTTGCGTCCGTCTTAATTTGTTGCTGTTTGCAAAGCTTGGCTGTCTCTCACCCCTCTCGTCTAACCCTTGGTCACTTGATTTTTGTTTTTTTGTGCGCGAAACACCCGCGGGGGACGAACTCCCGCCCGATCAGCTCGTCAGACAATACCCGTCGTCGTTTGAGTTCACCGGGCACTACCTCGAGCGGCTGGTGGAAGGCGTGTACAGCGCGGGCTTCCTCAACTTCGCAGGTGAAACAGGCATCCCCCCCCCCCCCCCCGTTCGCCTGAGGTCGGGAAGAGGGTTGATGTAAGGAAGTGTGACCCTGTCTGCGGTGTGAATGCTAAGGCCGTGCACAGGCTGCTGTTGTTCACTTCAGCGGTACAAGCAGCAATAGATGCCATGAAGCTAGTCATTGGGCGATTTTGTTGACTGCCGTAATAGAGGAGCACTGTATTTAGCGTTGTACACAGCAACGTTTTACGCCGTCAGGTTGCTCTTCGCCTTCCCATGGTGGAAGATCACGGACGTTGTTGCGCGACATTCTTGTGCTTTCCTCGGTAACCTGGCCCCTGATGGCTCCGCCTTTTTGGTACGTGTGCCTGATTTGATCGTTTCGTCTCTCGGAAAACAGGGAACTGCGAGCGCGAGAGGAAGGAAAAGCTCAAGGAGCTGCGCGAGACGGGCAGTGGTGCTCTCAGCCTGTTTACCTACCTTAGGTAATCCCCCCAACAGGCAGCAAGAAGGAGACGTCTACCCAGCATATTCACTCCACTAGGCCGCTTTTAAGGAAGAAGAGCAACGGCGAAACGAGGCGTGTCTTGCTGAGATGTACTCCGGAGTATGGTTCTTATCCCCCCAATGGTTGCACTGCTGTACCCGACCGCCCTCACCAAGCTTCTGGCTGTGTGGCCGTCTACTGAGCCCCTCGGAACACGTTTTTTTCTGGCTAGCTTCTGTCCTGTGGTCGCAACTGCTGTTGTTGCTGCTGCCGATGCTTCTCTTCCTGGTACTGCACATTACCCCCGACGACATCAACTCCGCCCCATCCATCCCACCGCCGTGCCGTTACGCTGCGCGTTCAACAGGGAGCACGCGATGGAGGGCACCATGACGGCGCCGCTGCTCAACCCTCTCTACCGGCCGCCCCCCTACACCCTTGGCGGCGGCGGCGGCGGGCGGGTGCCGGCGCTGAGAGCGGTGGACGTGCTGCGGCCCTGCTGCGAGCTCCAGGGCCTAGAGGTCTGGAAGACGGTGTACATGCGGGATAACCTGCTGCTGCACCACAGGTGATGTAAAAGCCAGAAGGGGGGTTCGCTTTCGTTTTGGCCGGGGAGGGGCATGTAGAGACACATCCGCACCTATGTATGGCCGAGAAGGACAACGCGTTTTTTTTTTTTTTTTTGGCCGACCAGACTGCGGTGGGGTGAAGAGGGGGGTATATCCGAAGCCGCATCTTTGTGTCTGATGGGGGATGATATGGACTTACACGTTCGGTGTTCGGTCACCTTGGTGATAGGGTTTTCCGCAAGCCGCTGGCCGAAGTGCCGCTCGCTCGTGCGCCCGTACTGCTAAATATCACTGGTTTGGATCATGCGCCGATGGACTTGGCTTTATGGCTTGTATCTGCTCTCCGTACAAACCTGATTGCCGCTCGCTGCCCCTTTGCCTGTCAGTCGCGTCTTGTCCGCACGCGGATTCACTTGGGGTTTTGGCTTGTATGTGCACTCCGTACAAAGCTGATTGCCCCTGCCTGTCAGTCGCGTCTTGTCCTCACGCTTACCCCTCTTGTTGGTGCCGCTTATGTGTGCCATGTGGACCAGGGAGCAACAGCTGTCGGTGGAGCAGGGCTTGCGATTGCAGGTGAGTGCGTGTGGTTCGTTCGTGGTGGGCGTGTTTTTTTTATTGCCGGCTCTGGCCGACTAAAAAAAAAAATGGAGAGCGCTTCGGAAGGTCACGTGTGTGTTTGAACCAATTTTCGAAGAGGCTATTGTAGGTTGTGGTCCGGCGATTTTTAACAGTAGCAGCGCTGGCGCTGGTGACGGTGATTGGAGAATTCCCGTGTCATTTCCTTGGTCCGGTCAAGTTCGGGGTTGCGACCTTCAGCACCCCCCACCGCGCCTACTTTGTTCGAATGCCAACGAGGCTTCATCCGACTGGCTGTTGCCGCAACACGCGACTCGCGGCGCCCATATTACCGCACTCCCGTCCGGAGTAGACGCCTTCCCGGGAATGACCCCGAGAAGGTTCGGTGCGCTATCGTGTCTGCTCACTTGAGCTGGAACCACGCTGGGTATTTTGTGCGGTGCCCACCGACCCGTTTTGTCTGTTGCTGTCTGCTCCTCCTGCTCCTCCTCCTGCTGCTGCTGCTGCTGCTGCTGCTGTGGATGGGTGGCTGCGGGTTCCGGACTCGGGGACGCCCCCCCCTACCTGGTTTCTTCCGTCATCATCACCACCGGCCCTTTCAGGTAGCTATGCTGAGAGCGTCCCGCGTAGCGTCCGACCGTCGACAGCGGGCGACCCTCTCGGTCCTCGCTCTCATCGCCGTTGCGGTAGCCGTGCTTGCCTGGGTGGTTCGGGGGGTGTACGGCTACGACCACGGAGACGTGCCGTCGTTTGCCCTCGGCCTGGCGGTGGCCGTCGTGCCGGCGCTCTTGGTGTGGTCGTTGCCCCAGCCGGCGTTTGAGCCGCGGGGGTGCGGGGCGATGACCGACTCTCCGTCGTCGGTGTCTGAGTGAACGCGTAGCCGCCCGACTGAATTGAGCCCCCCCGGTGTATACTGACTAGAGTTTATCGCATATGTAGCGTTTGGTTGAGCTGAATTTTTATTGCATAGCTTTTGGTCCGAGCGCGGTGTTGGTGTTTTGTCGGAGCAATTCCAACCCCCTCGATAGAGCAGCGTACCAGAGGCTTTCTCTTTTTCTGTGCACCTTTCGGAGGGATCTCCGTTTGGTGTGCAGAGCAACACGCAACCCATGGACGAAAATTTGATGGTGTTTTTCGTTAGAAATGGTTGAGCGCGAAGACCATCGCGGAAGTATCGTTCGTTTTGGCCGCTTAGATTTTGTTGGTTACTAGTTAGTTGCTTGTGTCGGGTGTGAGCACTTTGATGAAGCGGGTAGGACCACGGGGAGGTATTTGTTTCTGGAAAAGAAAACCACTCTGGCTCGTAGAAAAAGGGTGAGAGGGAAACAAACACCATGCGCACCACACCGGGGTATGAACTATTTATCGAGTACACGCACACGCAAACGTTGATGAAACAAGTTGCAACACAGCAGCCAGTTCACGCCATTCGTTAGATCGCCGATGCTTTTGGGCGCTTGCAGAAAGCCTGGGCTTCTCCGTTGGGTAGCCCTTCTGCTCTTGTTACTCTTTTTTTTTATATGTGTTTCAGTTGTTTTTGTGTTTTGCTTCCCTTCCCCCGACAAAGTCAAGTCAGGAAACATGACCGCACGTTTTTGTTGTCGCTCCACGTAAATTTTCCATGGCCTGGATTTTTTCTATAGAATATGTGGTATTATTTTAGTTGCCAAGGGACAGGCGTAGAAGTGAAGCCTGTGTCTTTGTAGTTCCTGTGTTTATTGTGTTGTTTTCCTCGTCCATGATCGGCAGTGGTGGCAAGCAATTTTTGCTTCTCTGTGGAGTATGAGACAACGACAGTACGTGGGCAGCTCCCCCTCTTTTTTTACCGGGGGCATATGAGGCGGGGTGAACACGTGAAAAGCCTGTTTTGCTTGGAGTCCAGCAGCGGCGGCAGTCTTGAATCATGGTTCTGCTTTTATCATGAGGAAGCGTGCCTTTTTATTTTGTTCTATAACAAGAATGAAGTTTTTTTTATGTTGTGCTTGTTGCTACGAGAGGGGCTACGGGATCTGACTAGCTAGTGTCCTGAGCCTTTCCGTCCTTGTTGCGTCGTTACTCGTGATTTACCGGTGCGGTACGCACCCGAGGAAGAAAAAAGTGTTGGGAGGATGCGAAGCGTTAGCGTTCTAGCCTACTTTTGTGGCTGAGATACTTCAGTCAGTGATTAGAATGTACGGACAAAATCAAATCAATTCAAGGGTTTTCTTGTTTTTTTTACACATTTTGAGGCGTGTAGCAAGCTTGCTCGCGTCGCGATTCTCTTTTAACCAAGTTCGACGGGAAAATGTCGCGAGACATGCACGGATCGAGGACGTGAGCTGGGCACCTCTCCCGCTGCCGTTCTTAGGACGGGCAGTTAACAAATCCCCGTTTCTTTTTTTTCTTTCGCACTAGAAGAGACCATTGTCACGCGTGCGGACGTGTTACCAGATCCCCGTTCTCAAATATGTTTTTTTTCTTTGTCTTTTCGTCCAGAGACGACTGGGACACGTGCAGACGTGTGTCAGTAGATGCACCCTTAACCGCCGTGCCCTCTCGCGGGCCTATCCGGCGTTCCTCGCCGGCGGTTTGTACCCCCCCCCCCCGCCAATGGTCTAACGACTACGGCATGCACGACTATGAGTACACCCCCACCCCCGCCTGCCAGCCCCGCCCGCGCTGCCCGCGGCGGTTCAGGTCGGCGGCTCAGCTAACACCCGTCGACCTTCCCTTGCCCCTTTTCGTCCTCCTCCCGTGCCGGGATGTTTGTTTTTTTTCGCGCACTGAATTTTCGGCAGGCGTACGACTACAAGCGACGGATCGACTTGATCGAGGCGAGCATGGACAGGCTACCCCGGGGGTAAGAAAGAAAGACACGCGGGCAGAGCAGAGCGCGCGACTTGCTGTGTGGGACTGCTGTAGATGGTTGGTTTATCTTAGGTGGCACGCACGGCGGGGGTGCACGTGTTGAACATTTTGTTGAACATTTGTTAAGCACTTGTATGAGTTTTGAGTGGGTCGTTCCCGTGTCGGATTGCCGCTGGCCGTTTAGACTAGATGACGAGAACGAACCGCGCGCCATGTGAATCGCGCCGTGTTGCTGCGCTCGCCTTAACCAAGCAGTGGCGAGGGGTTGTGTGCCACTGCCTCCCCCCCAGTTCGCCCGAAAAAGTCACCCAAGAAACTAGTTCGAAACAACTGCTACTGACTGCTGTGCGAACCTGAACCCGCTGCAAAACATTCGGCGCTATATTCCCCCGTCCCACCTGGATCCGCGACCCGCGCAACCCCCTCCAATAATTTCAAATGATTATAATTCACTACCTGTTGGTGCGTTTTTTTTTTTTTTTTCTGGTGGCAGGCTCAGGGCGAAGCTTCGGTCCTCGGCGACGGGCATGAAGAGCCCCGAGTGGGATCGTCACGACAGGCTGGTGGCCCAGCTCTCGGCGGACCAAGACGCCGCCGCCGCCGCCGCCGCCGCTGCCGCCCAGGCGTCCTCCCTCCCCGGCATGGCGTCGCGGGGCCGCTCACAGTCCCGAGGCTCGAGGTCCGCGTCGGCGAACGCCAACGACGAGAGCTCCCGCAGCCGTAGCCGGAGCTTCAACCTTCCGCTTCGAGGGTGGGGTAAGGGTGGCGGCGGCGGCGGCGGCGGAGTGCACGTCCCCGACGCGTACCGCATCGAACGCGCGGACACGGACACCTACCGCAACAGCCGCGTGGACACGGACATCGAGGAGGAGAGCATACGCGCCATCAGCGAGGGCAGCCGGCACCAGAGCAGCGGGGGGACCCCCAGCCGCGGCGGTGCGGAGGGGGAGGAGGAGGAAGAGGTAGGGGAACGGCCGGGTCGCAACAAGAGCTTCTTCGTCGGCTTGGGCAGGTGGGGACCCGGTCGCAGGCGGAGCGCGTCGACGCAGGAGCTTTCGTCGCCCGTCGCCGGCGGCGGCGGCGGCGGTGTCGAGAAGCGGAGGCGGAACTCTTCCTCCGCAGCGGCGGCGGCGGCGACTGCTGCCAACACCCGGCGAAACAGTCTCTTCTCCTCCTTCACCGGGGAGCGGCCGTCGGTAGCACCGTCGGTAGACCCGTCTCCAGACAACAACAACCAGGGGGCGGCGCGGAGGTTCGGAAAGAAGTCGCCGGGCGCCGGCAAGCGGAAGGGCCTGCTCAAGAGCCAGACCATGGTGGACGTCCCCGCCACCGGACTTAGGAGCCCCCCGCCACCGGAGCCGCTCAGGTCCGCGAAAGGTTCGGGCGGGAAGAAAGCTTGGGGCCGCACCAGCCGGGCGACCACGGCGGCGACGGTGGACGTCGAGGACGACCTCGAGCCGCGGCAGCAGCGCGCCAAGTCCACGAGCGGCGGCGGCCGCCCGCCAACGACAACGCGCGACAAGCGGGCGAGCCCGGACGCCCGGTCGGGCCCCGGCCGGACCAGGTGGGGGCGAGGGAGACAGTCGTCATCGGTGGGTGCCGAGTACTACGAAGAGGGCGAACACGACGAGGAAGAGAATCTGGTGCCACGCCGGCGCGCGCCG